ATATGTTTTTAAAATCCTTGGTAAACAGTGAGTTACGGTATGTTTTTATATCCTTGGTATACAGTGAGTTACGATATGTTTTTATATCCTTGGTATACAGTGAGTTATGGTATGTTTTAATATGCTTGGTATACAGTGAGTTACGGTATGTTTTAATATCCTTGGTATACAGTGAGTTGCGGTATGTTTTAATATCCTTGGTATGCAGTGAGTTGCGATATGTTTTACTGCCCCAAAAATCTTTAATGTACACAACCTGAATACTACATAACATGATATTTGTTGACTAACTGTCACAAAACTAACAATGTTGTGTGTCCTGTACATGTTTTAATAAAGATTGTTTGATAACGGGTTTTTTTAAGATACTGAAATGTATTGTCGCCATCACTTGTCATTTTTCATCGGTATAATAATTGTTACAATACATAGATATAAATAAGTGCATTAAATAATGTCTTCAGTTATTATTTTTTCAAGATGTCGGGAAACAAATATAAGTAAATTTTATAATTATAATGAAATACAAGTACTTCTATAAGATAAAAGAGCATCCTACATCTGCCTTATTTGCAGTGCCAAGAAATGCAGGATTGAGAGTGGAACTCCCTAACATACAATGTAATACATGGTTAGTTGATTTATGATATAGATAAGAAGTAAGGGTATTTTGCAAGATCTCCGAAATAATTCTAACGATAAATTATAAATATCGATATGTTAGTTTAGAACTTGTAAGTATTTCGCTGCAATATACTTGTAAGAGGTTATACTGAAACTTCTTTCCTGAAAAGTAAAGTTTAAATGAGAACTTCTATCTCTTATGTTGTGTCGTTAAACGAAAGATTGTCAGTTCCTTAACGTAAAGGTTGTATCTCGTATACAATTTCAAGTCTTGGGGTTTTAACAATGAAGTTATATCATGTTATCATCAAAATTTATCAGTTCAATATTGATTGGCATAATTAGATTGACGTTTTACACAAAAATCATCTTATTAGGACTTTTAACGGAAGCAAACAATAAAGATAAAATTGAACTAATCTTATGTGTTTTTTTTATAAAAGTTGAGAGATAAGCTAATATTGTCTTTCCTTGATATACTAGGTTTCCATCCAGTTTCAAGGTGAAGTGACTCACAAGTGGCTACTGAGGAACGACCAGACATGACTTTGGCGGCTTTTAGCTCGAGGTATCCGCACAGAAGTTAACAGATTTGAAATATTATGTTCATCGAAGCAGGGTCAAATGGGTTACAGATTTTAAAACCTTCTAACAAAAACACTAATTTTGATGTTGTTATCTTGATTCATTTGTGACAGGCAAGCTGGAACATTCAAGTAAAATTTGAGTTGGACATGTATTTCCGAGCTGTTTTAGATGTCGGAACCACAAATAAGGTACATATACATTAAGAAACATTCATATCCCACCAATAAGGTAAATATATCACCAGAAACATTAATTTACCCCACAAATAAGGTGCATATACCATCAGAAACATTCATTAACCCCACCAGTACGGTACATATACCATCAGAAACATTCATTTACCCCACCAATACGGTAAACATGGCATCAGAAACATTCATTTATCCGGTACATAAGGTGAATATATCATCAGAAACATTCATTTATCCGGTACATGAGGTAAATGTGCCATCGGAAACATTCATTAACCCCACCAGTACGGTACATATACCATCAGAAACATTCATTTACCCCACCAATACGGTAAACATGGCATTAGAAACATTCATTTATCCGGTACATAAGGTGAATATATCATCAGAAACATTCATTTATCCGGTACATGAGGTAAATGTGCCATCGGAAACATTCATTAACCCCACAAATAAGGTACATATACAATCAGAAACATTCATTAACCTCAGGAAAAGGTCAAAATACCATCAGAAACAATTATTTACTCCGTAAATAACGAAAATATACTATCAGAATCATTATTTCACTTTTTAAATAAGGAGTATCATCGGAAACAATTTAAAACCCGACAAAGAAGTTAAATATACCTTCAGCAACATACATGTACATTAATCACACATACAATCAGAAACATTCATAAATCACACCTTTGTCTGGATATTCATTAAAAGTACAGGTCAGCTTATTTTATCTACATACTCGGTTTAACAACGAACCTTCATCCTTCATTTTTATACTCGGCTTAACTGCAGACATGCCTCCTATTTTTATTTGTTTTAATATTGGTATTTTGTGTATATTTGTTTTATGAGTGATAATATTTTAAAAGGATTTATGAGAATGATCGAATGTGTCGTATACGGACTGACTTTATGAGAAAGGTTTGGTGTGAATATGAGAGTGTGTCATGTTTGATGTGTTATACATGGCCTTCTTTATAATTTGTAACAGTGTATCTTAAAATGTTAAAAAAGAAATGTCTGATAGTGTGATCGACGTAGAATGTGCTGGCAATTCTACGGTAGAATCATTAATGTATATTTTATCTTTTATGAATAATATACTTTTCTCTAGATGATATACTCTTCTTTCTATAGATAATGTATCTCCAAAACCCATGTCTTTGTGTTAAGATTTTTTAAACAGATCTTTGCTGCATGTTTGGTGGTTACATGTAAAGAGTTAAGATCTCATAGCTGCTTTGGAGTTACCTGGGAAAACATTAAGGACAAAAATATCTTCTTTTTTTATATAAGCAATATACCGTTCCCTTTTATAAATGATATACATTGTAAAATAACTGACATACTTTTCTCTTTTCTAGATAATATACTTTTCTGTTAATGAGTAATATACATGTACCGTTTCTTTTACAAACGATATACATAAAACTTTTCTCATTATATCAATATATTTATTGGTTAATAACTAGTTTTCTCTTTTATAGATAATACACTTTTCTCTTTTATAAATGATACATGTATCACTTTCTCAATTACAAGTACACTATGTTACATGTACAGGCATCATAATAACATACTTCTCTGCTTTATAAAACACAAACTATATAATGTTGTCTTAAACTAGTTTTGAAAGTAAAACAATATGTATCAATTTTCAAAATGAATATTTAAAAAAATCGAACACGAAAAGGAAAACATACGGAAGGTGTAAGAGGTTAACTTGTGTTATATGGTCTATCTACTTCAATGAAAACATTGAAAATGGGTTGCAATATGGACTTATCTTTAAATAGTGAAAGAAACTTGCGTCGTTCCTTAATGTATAACTTTTTTTTCTTTAGTAATAAATATGTAGTAAAAATCGAAATTTGAGGTGTACAAAACAAACAAAAGTGTCCTTAAGCATCCTTTTTTTTACTTAGAACAGTTGTCTGTTGGTACATTTCTCTATGCTTTAAGACTAAGATAATTTTATCTCAATATATTTCATCTGACATCAATGCTAGGTGTTCCATTAATGTATTCGTTAACACATGATGGACTCAGTCTCTCAATAGTTAACTTAACATTTTTTCTGTCATATGAAAGCATGTAGAAATCAGATATATATGATCCCTTAACAACTTCGCTAACATATTTGCCAAATTTTAAGTCCCATAAATAACACTATTTTGTTTTGTCAGTTAACAACAATTAACATGGTGTTGATGATTTGTTTTATAATATGCGTATCAAACACTGGCAATGTGATACCGTTCTTGTTTTTGGTATAAAAACGTGATTAGTACTCATTAATATAAATAGGGGAGGCGTCACCAGGTGTGGTCACAAAATGACAATATGTGCTCAATACTTCTTAAAATTCTAGTTTATGAGGAGAGACTTATTTATCGGGATATCTGCGGTTTGCTGATACTTGCAAATCATGTTTCAATATGGGGTTGATTTCTTCGATTCGTTCCCAGCAAAAAAATGTGAGTCTAATTAACGAGATCGGTATCGACTTGTTTATGATATGAAAATAAAACTGACAGTACATAATACATTACAGCTTTCCATTTTCAAGATTAGAAAATGTGATTCACACAGGTACAATATTGCTCTTAAGATTATAGAACAGATAATTTTAGACAGAATGTCCTAATTAATATATAAATGCCATTTAAAGGCTGTTTATGACACCTTAGTGATATTTTTGTCTTCAATTTTACTTGTGTAAATATATAGGACCAAAGTACAAACGTCTTATTATATGTTACAGATTGTCGTCTTATCACTTAAATACAAGGGTGGTACGAGATATAAAATATAAGGGTGGCACGAGATACAAAATATAAGGGTAGCACGAGATACAAAATATAAGGGTGGCACGATATACAAAATATAAGGGTGGCACGAGATACAAAATATAAGGGTGACAAGAGATACAAAATACAAGGGTGGCACGAGATACAAAATATAAGGGTGGCACGAGATACAAAATATAACGGTGGCACGACACAATAAAACAGAGATGCTACACTGTTGTTAGAGAGAACAGATTGTGTACTCGCTGTGCTTCTGGTGATATAGAAGATGAATTTCACTTCATCCTGAAATGTCCATTCTATCAAATCCTGAGATGTAAATATATCAAGCGATTCTATCACAGAAGTCCTAATGGTTTTTTTCTGTTAATGAAATTATTGCTTGTACATGTACAATGTACTACATGATGCAACTGTTTGATATTTAATCTATTGGCCGGGATGCCTCTCGGAAATAAAGAAATTGATCTGAATTAAACATAAAAACATTGCTGTTGTATTTGTTGTTGTATATCAAATTGTATGTTTTTATGAATCAAAAACTTTCGAAACACAATAATTTGCTGAGACAGTCCCTGCTACTGAAGTTTCGGGGTAATATGAAGACACGAACGCCCACACCGTGTTAGTCCTACTCATGAATATTGTAAAAAAAAAAGGGTGTGGACATAACTGGCCTCGTTAGAAACTATATTGCTGGTAATGACAAATAACTTATAAGATACCTTTCCAATAGAAAGACTCTCTTTCTTTTGTTTTGGTAAACTCAAAACATTTAACTTACCTGGGCTAGCATTAGAATGGACAATATATAAAGCCACGCCATATTGCTGATCCTTTATCTGCTTTCCTTCAGCACAAACAGCGTATCCTGGTGAACAGCTTTACTGATAACATTCTAAACGCCACCTAGACACGACAGCGTTATCGGACAAGTTAGAAACTTTTTTTTATTGTGTTTTGTATTATCTGTGTGGCTGGGTTTAAATAATAACGGAGTCTCAATGCAGTATTGATCGGGAGTACACAGCTAGTATTGGTCAGGACGAGTGGAGTTACAGCAATATTCGCTGAAATAAGTGGACAGGTACAGAATATTGACTGGGATTGGTGAGGAAATATATAAACTTGTATAAGATTGGTGGAGAAGTATTAAAAATTGACTGACAGGGAAGGAGCAGAATAGATTACTGACAGAACTTGGTGGGGGAAAAAAGAATAGTGGCCGAGATTAGTGGAAAAGTAAAATATATATTGGCTGATATGCGTGGTTTGGTTTTGGTTTTATTAGATTAAACATTCCATTAACTGCTTATGACGTGCCTCATGTGTGTAATGTTTAAGTGTATGTGTGTACGCTGAGATATGGGTGACAGAATATTGACCAAGATTGGAGTAAATAATTGGTCCAGATAGAAGTGAGGATCGTTACATAAACTTGGTGTTTATCTTATTTAATTACTAACCAAATGTCTACATAGAAAACTCATTAATACTAGATCCACTCACAAAATAAATCCATATATAGGTATTACATTAGTTTTTGAGTAGATATACAAAATAAAAAATAGAATATATGTATTTATATTTTATTCAGTTTTTCAAAGCACATACACTTGACAATATTTGGGAGACTATAACATACTTCACAGTACACTCATCCTAAACATTCCATACACATTTTATGTTAACCATACTCATTTCATATACCCAGTTTTCTAAGTATTGGGTCTGTAGAGAATATTAAACTGGCTTACTGATCATGCTAATTTATGACATATTTATTTCAAACATTTCATATATACTCATACACACCATAAATCTGTACAGAACAGGCATATCAAATATTTCATACACCTGTGAAGAACAGTCACATGTATATAAAAAAAAAACATACACATCATTCATCCGCATGGAAACACTCATATTAAACATTGCATACACACCATGCAACTGTATGTAACATTCATATTTAACATTACATACACACCATACAACTGTATGTAACATTCATATTAAACATTTCATACACACTATACAACTGTATGTAACATTCATATTAAACATTTCATACACACCATACAACTGTATGTAACATTCATATTAAACATTTCATACACACCATGCATTTGTGCAGAAAAATTCATACAACAGTATGAACATTTATCTCAGAGTTGTCTGCCCTTTGGTAAATCAGAATTTAATAATATTTCCCAAGCTTTGAAAACAGCACACCAAAACATATTTTTGCAGGTCCTATGACACATACGTAGGTAATTATTTTCACAATTCATATTAAAATCAATATTAATAATATTCGTAAGTATAACTTGCCACTTTCTAGAGCATGTACTTTGAAAAAATCTCTTTAACCATCCTAGTTTTAGAGCATCTATAAAAGACTTGATGTTGACCATTTTCAGAACACCTTCAAAATAATCTTTAGTTATAACATTTCTTATCACTTTGTCTGTTTTGCCATTCCAAAGAAAGTTTTATATAATAGTATTTACCTTATTGATAAAAGTAATGCTTGGGTTGGGTAGTGAAATTATTCAATTGTGAAATTAATAATGATTTAATCACATATATTTTCCCAATAGGAGTTAATCGTCTTCTACTCCATCAATTTTTTGTCAAAGTTTAATTTGGGTATTTCATGTACTTTAACGCTATAGTCTAGTAGATATAAATGTTACACATGTGAAAGTTCCTAACTTAGAAAGAAACACACCTTCTATCATAGATGATCGCCTCACTACCTTCTATGAAGAGTGTGTTTCCACGATCATTAATTGTATCATGCCTTTCCTCAGTAGCGACATACCCAGACTTGTTTGCTGACTGAATTGTCTTATTATCCCCCGCTTTCACCGAAACGGGGGATATTGATTTGGATTTGTCTGTCTGTCTGTCACGCTTCGTTTTTGTTCATTAACTCTCGCAAAAGTTAACCGATTTTCTTCAAACTTAGTAACAGGGTTTAACGCATTAAGGGTTCGGCCAAGTTTGACAACCACTTTAATCGGACTCCATTTAGCGGAGTTAAAGCCCCTTGATTAACGAAAAACGTCATTATCTGCAGTTTCCGCTTAATAACTCTAGCAAATATTAGCCAACTTCCTTCAAATTTGATAACAATGTTTGTGTTTCATTTCAAAACATTTTATTTAAATCAATTGATTCAATGGGAATTGGGCAACAGGCTATTCCTATAAAAGCCCTCTCCCTTGGGTTACATACATTTCAAACAATAACATAATTATAATTTAGACATTAACATATTAGCACTGGCATGGAACATTAAATAGTACTTAATACTTAATACTTAATAGTCTCTATCTATCTCTGAACTAAGCAAAATAAAAAAATAAAAAGTAGAATTACTGAGATAAAACAAATATATTTGGGGGGTTTTGTTATTTTTTCTACACATAGTAACCAGTATATATAAAATATATTTCAAAATGGAAAGCCATGTGTGTATACTCATTTGTAAATAATCAGATTTCATAAATTTTATAACATATATTAATATCAAAAACTGGAACCTTCATTCAATACAGTAAATATTAAATATTATTAGTTGACTAATTTGTAACACCAACAAGTCCTCCATCACCACTCCTACTCCAGATAACAATAATAACTGGGCAGAACTAAAATGTCCAAACACACCACCACTGTGTGCTTACCCAGTCATTGACAATCCAGAGCAGGAGCCGTGTTGAAGAAGTACTCATGTAGACATGTATACATACGCATTTGGACTATAATTAACAGTTATTTCAAAATCTGTTAGTAGACTCAATATATTTCTGAACACATACACAAATAGCAGAATTAGGATCATGACTAAGGTGGTTACTTCCCCTAGTTAGTATATTGATATTATTTACTAAATGTTCAATCAGGTTTAAGTCAAGATTTAAATGTAGGTTTAGTTGAATGTTAAGCTGCAAATGAGACAGAGAATCTAATAGGTTTTGTCTTTGGATTATATACCTAGGGCAGTATAGATAGAAGTGATCCACATCTTCGTCATGGTTGCCACATATACAGGATGGGCTATTAGTAAGGTGGTCTCTAAAAAGATCAGAATTTAATTGACTTGCCTGGTTTCTAAGTTGACATAAAATGACGTTAAAAGATCTAGTCCCTCCATATTTAAAAGCATTTGTACATTTATCCTCAGCATTAGGAAGAATGGCATGATGGACGAGTTGCTTTTTAAGTTCACTTACAGACCTCAAATTATAATAATTACATCAGATCTATTCCAAGTTTCAATGTTTGTGTTCCTTTGTCTTTCCATCCATCTCGGGCACTCTATGGTTTTCGTGTGATAATTGCTGTAGATATTGTGCAGATATTTCAACCGAATTCCGTATGCACATCCGATTCATGCTAAGTTTGTCAACCGATAAGATTTGTGCATATTTATGGATAATTAATGAGATTAGTAAATTCTGATGGATTAAACGATTAATTTACACCGTAATACCTACATACGAATTTGCTTGTTGTTCCAAAGTCGGGTCTATACACCATGATTATGTTGGTAGAAACATTTCGTACCTCCTGGGGATCCAGTATTTACAAAATCGTTTTTTTCTGTCGCATAGGCTTCAATTAACTTTAACAAATGATGAAGTCAGCAGACTCCACTCGTATCGTGTTACGTTTTAGATAGAAGCTTTCTACTGACCATTCTCTGATTCTAGAAAATCGTTTGAGCGGGGTGTATTTTCTTATTTTTCTTTTAAAATCAATAAGTTGTTTTTTTTCTAAAAGAAAACTGTAAGACGGGTTCCACCAGTAAACATTGAGGACGTGGAATATTTTATTTTAATTATATGCAATCGAATAGAGATTTAAAATTCCTTCACCTGGGCTTTAAACTGTGGTCAAATTCTGATCAGAGCAACTGATTTCTCTACCACCTTCATTACGTACGCTGTGATAATCTGTGACGTCATATATTGAGTCTTAAACTCCCCAACCATCCTGGCCGACATTGTTAGGAGTTCGTGCACGATGTGACAATCATATGCTTGCATTATTATGTTTAATTTTCGTGTTTCGCACACTGTGTGTATACTTTATAGTATCTTAATAGTTTCGTATAAAGATAATGAAATGAGTCGAGAAGGAGGAAAAAAGACATCGGATATTAAAAAAAATCATCACTAGTATGTTTTATGTGTGTAAAATATGTTCTTTATACCCCTGTTATCCCCCTCTTGAGATATATGTTCATTACATAAAACTGTGATACCCCACCTATACGCGGTTGTCAGGAAGTGAGAACCAACATGTACCCCGTAATGATCCCCAGAGGTGATAACATTATAGTGGGGACGATATAACACCTCCACGTTATGTCAAAAGTTGTCCTTTATGAAGTGATTAAATGTATCAATAGTTGTGTATCTACAGGAATTACATCAATATACACGATGTATCATTGCCTGTTTACATTCCTAAGTAAACTCGCACATTCTTTCACGCCGTAGTAACCACTCAACGTTTTATCTTCTGGTGAAAAAAATCAACTAAACATGAAATTAACTTCAGTCCTACAAATGTGTATTCTTAATCCATGATAAGATAAAGAAAAACCTTTCAACATTTTCAACAAAAAATAATGAACGTACTGAGTACAGTGCGGTGATATTTAGTGTTCATGTGATCAATGCACTGATATTTAGTGTTCATGTGATTAGTGCGGTGATATATAGTGTTCATCTGATTAGTGTGGTAATATGTAGTGTCCATGTGATAAGTGCGGTTATATTTTTAGTTCATGAGATAAGTGTGGTGATATATAGTGTTCATGAGATTAGTTTGGTGATATTTAGTGTTCATGTCATAAGTGCGGTGATATATAGTTTTCATGTGATCAGTGCGGTGATATTTAGTGTTCATGTGATTAGTGC